TATATATATATATATATATTTAAAAAAAATACACTTAATGGATAAATAAATTAAAATAATTACTTTTAAATAGGAAAAAACAAAACGAAATAAATAAAAGGACTTTAACTTAATTTTATAGGAAAAAAATGGGGTGTGTGGGTATTCATAAGAAAAAATGGAGGGGGATTCAAACCGGCCACTATTTGTTTTTTTTTTAAAATTTTTTTGATATTTTTTTCAAATCCGGGTGAACCGCCTGGCCGGCCCGACGGTTCACCAATTCATAGACCTGAGCCCGTCCCAAGGACGACGGGCCGGTTCACCGGTCAATGGTTCGGGCCGGTTTGTCAACGGGCCGGTTCCGGGCCCAAAACCGGCCCATGGCCGTGTCTACCTCAGGACTCAGGAGTGGTTGTAATTTACCCCTAATTTTATACATTTTAACCGAATTAGGGATAAAATATAAAAGAAATTATTAATTTATCAATGTGTTACTGTAAATCACCCCTTATTAATTTATTTAGTGTTTAGGACCCAAATTGCAATTTGAAATATGGATTTAAAATTGAACAAATTTTGCAAAGAATGTATAATATTCAATGTATAAAAAATAAATAAAATATATTATTTTTATACTAGCTTGACTATATCATATTATATGTAGAACGAAATAATTAATAGTTATAATAGATTTGTAATAATTTATCAAAAAAAAAAAAAAAGATTTGTAATAACATTAATTGAAAATTCCTTGAAAAAAAATAATTGGGCTTTACAGATAATTGCAGGGCTAGATCCAATACAAATAACCCAAATTCAGACTGGCCCACAATATGAGGATATTTTCGTCATTTCCAATTATCCTAGGGTTTCAGAACTTCATAAAACAACTCAAAACCACATCACTCTCCCTCCGCCACCACCACCACCACCACCCACAGCCACCACCTCCTCCAGGTAAAAGCTCTACGGCGAACAACCGCCGCGCCGGAATAGATCAATTTTAACGTATTTGTGAAACTACCACATCTCAATTTAATCGATTTTGTTTCTCTCTCTCACCAGGAATCAGATCTGAGAAGAAATGGCGAAGTCGAAGAATCACACGGCGCACAACCAGTCGCACAAGGCACACAGGAACGGCATCAAGAAGCCGAAGCGCAACCGCAACATCTCCACCAAAGGGGTACACTTTTGATTCTGTTTGCTCTGTCATTTTTATATTTTGCCTCTCTCTCTTTTTTTTTCCGGAATTAATGGTGAGTTTTTCATTTTTAATTTTTGGAATTTTTATTTTTTAATAATTTGCAGATGGATCCCAAGTTTTTGAGGAACCAGAGGTATGCAAGGAAGCACAACAACAAAATCGCTGATGGCGCTAGCGGCGAAGAATAGATTTCAAGTTACGTATTTATTTATTACCCAATTCCGATTATGCGAAATGAATCATACAATCAATTTTGATTTTCTTTTGCTATTTTTAGTTAGGTTTGGGATTTTTATCGTTTGATTTTAATTCGAATTATATTGGGTACTAGCATTTGACTGATTTTGAGCTGAAATTATGAGTACTGATAATTCGGAGCTTTCTTATATGCGTATTGTGGTTGTTCGTATTATCCTCGTGCAGCGTAATCGTGTTCTTCGTGTATAGGTTGAGATTAAGTTGATTATTATTTGAAATCCAATCCGATAAGCAGTAATCGTGTTCTTCGTGTATAGGTTGAGATTAAGTTGATTATTATTTGAAATCCAATCCGATAAGCAATCTTACTGTAGTTAATGATGTTATTTGCTGATAATTGATTGATCATTCGCAATATATTGGATTATCGATCATTTGGATGCTTTTTGAGCTGAATTTATGAATTCCGAATTGTGGGAACTTCCTTCGGATTCTTCTCATGCAGCTTAGTTGTGTTCTTGTGAGTATAGCTCTTGATGTGTGGGTTCGTTTATTATTTTGAAATCCCTTTCGATGGGCATTGAATTGTTAGTTGAATGATGTTAGAGGTGCGTAGCATATTAGAGGATTTTTTCGTGTTTTTTTTTGTGGTCTATATTTTGCACGATTTATGAAATCCTTAATACTTCATTTTTTGGGTTTTTCGTAGTTATGGTATTGGTATTGAAGTACGTGATCACATAATCACAATTATGTGATGCAATATTCAAGTTTGGATATATATATGGAAAGATATATACATATATATATATATATATATATATATATATATATATATATATATATATATATATATATATATATATATATATATATATATATATATATATATATATATATATATATATATATATGTATTTATTTATTTTTATTAATTTTTTTTGTGTACAATCTGATGTAGAAAATAATGAAAAAGAAAATCCAAATTGCAAGTGTGTACTTGCATCGTATCATACAATGAATTAAACAATTGTAATTACTAAACTGTTAATCAAAAGGAAGCGCATAATACATTTCTTGGTTGTTTATTGAGTTTTAAATGTGTTCGAGTTTCGTTCGATTAGCAATGAAGTCGACTTGGACAAGCTTTAATTGAGCCAAACACTAATAATAGTTTAATTTTCTTTACATATAAGTTATAACTAGCATTTTCTTTCCGTGTGATGTACGAAATTGGATTTTAAAAGTGAAAAAGTTGATCAATTTAACAAATATAATTTTTATCTTTATTTCTTAAGATTTGAGATATACATACATTGATGAAAAATGGGAAATTGAAACCGGAAAGATTATTCACGGTTCAGTGTCAATTTTGATAATTGTTGAAAGTATAATTAGAAAGTTAGTAAAAAAAATATTCAAAATAAATAATTAAAAGAAAAAAACCATTAGGATTTCTTAGGGTTGGCCAACTTTGATAATTGTTGAAAGTATAATTAGAAAGTTAGTAAAAAAAATATTCAAAATAAATAATTAAAAGAAAAAAACCATTAGGATTTTTTAGGGTTGGCCAATGTTTCTTTCTTTTATACATACTAGTAACCGTGCCCGTGCGTTGCACGGGGTTGCATTCAACAAAGGAAAAAAAAGTAATTGTTTAAAAAAATGACAGTACAAATTGTAATAAAAAATCGATCAAATAATATTCAAAAGTATCCGTGAAATTCAAATTACAGTACTATTATCTTATTTTATTGTAGCATATATTTTTCATCCTACGATAAATATAAATATATACACACACACCTAGTGTCAATATATAAAACATATGTTAAATAATAAATAATACAAATTTAACAAAGGGGACGGGTATTTCAAATTTCAATTGTTTATCAATTAAATACCGCCTAAATAATAAATAGGTAATGACATTTATACATTTAGGTCCCGTTTGGCTGTCAAGATAAGTCATGATTAACTAAATAGTTGGACCTAATTTGATGTTTGGTATCCTTAATAAATTATCGGGTCGACCCGCCAAAATTATATAATCATGGCTTATCTGGTCTTATCTTGGCTTATTTTGCCTTCTAATGAGTTTTTTTTGTTGGACGTTTCAAGCTCCA